TGAATACCTTCGGGAAAAAAAAAAAAATTTAGCGGTGAAACCACCTGGTCCAGGGATTTTGTTCTTATAAATGAAAATTCAGTTTCATTGCTGGTAGTTGTTTGTTCAGATTTTGTGTTTCTTCCTGGGTCAGTCTTGGAAGGTGTGTTTTTCTAGAAAGTTGTTCATTTCTTCTAGGTTATCTACTTGTTAGTATATAATTTTTCATAGTATTCTCTAGTAATTCCTTGTATTTTGGTGGTGTCCTTAGTGATTTTTTCTTTCTCATTTCTGATTCTGTTTATGTGTGTAGAGTCTTTTTTTTTCCTTGACAAGTGTGGCTAGGGATTTGTCTGTATATTTTCTTGAAGAACCAGCTCTTGGTTTCATTGATTCTTTCTATTGTTTTATTCTTGATTTTATTTACTCTGCTCTTATCTTTGTTATGTCCCTTTTTCTACTGACTGGGCGTTACTTGTTCTTTTTCTAGTTTCATTAATTGTGATTTTAGACTGTTCATTTGGGGTTGATCTTCTTTCCTGAGGTAGACCTGTATTGCAGTATACTTCCCTCTTAGGACAGTGTTTGCTGCATCCCACATATTTTGTGCTGTTGAGTTGTTTTCATTTGTGTCCATATATTGCTTGATCTCTTTTTATTTGGTCATTGATCCCTTGATTATTAAGATGTTGTTATGCCTCCATATGTTTGTGGGCTTCTTTGCATAATTTAGTTCTTGTCTTATACCTTTGGAGAAGCTGGTTGGTACAATTTCTATCCTTCTCAATTTACAGAGACTCTTTTTGTGGCCTAGTATATGATGTGTTCTGGAAAATGTTCCATGTGCACTTGAGAGGAATGTGTATCTAACTGCTTTTGGGTGGAGTGTTCTGTAGATGTCTCTTTGGTCCATCTGTTATACTGTGTTGTTCATTATACAAGTATTGCATCTCCTGCCTTTGTCTCCTTACTTTTTTTCTGTCTGGTTGATCTGTCATTTGGAGTGAAGGTGTGTTGAAGTCTCCTAAAATGAATTCATTGTATTGTATTTCCCCCTTTAATTCTGGTAGTATTTGTTTCACATGTGGAGGTGCTCCTATATTGGGTGCATAGATATTTATAATGGTTATATCCTCTTGTTGGACTGACCTGTTTATCTTTATGTAATGTCCTTCTTTGTCTCTTGTTACATTTAGGGTGATTATTGATAGATAGGTATTTTTGCCATTGCAGGCTTTAGATTCGTGGTTACCAAAGGTTCAAGGGCAGCTTCTTCAGAATGCTCTTTAAACGCAGAATTTTTATTTTACTTAATGGAAGAGCTCCTTGATACTTACACATAAATTCGGCATATCAATTCTGTGCATAATATAAAAATGAAACTATAAATGAGATATAGTGATTAAGGTACTCCTAAGAATTTTTCACATTTATAGTTAGGCTGTAAATCACTTTTCGACTCAGTCATCATGATCCGTATTTCCCACTCATACCCCCCAGCCATCCGTAGTGTTGGGAAATGGTGTTCCACTATAGTCCCAAGATTTTCTTCAGTTTTTTTGACTACTTAATAGCAGCCATCTTCATTGGGCAAGTTACTTACTTCAAAGCCTCAGTTTTTTCCTCTATTAAGACAAGGATGCTAGTAATACATACTTCATAGAGTTGGAGAAAGGTTAAATGAATAGTGCTTTTAAAGTGTTAAGTTCAGTCTCTGACCCAGAGTGAGTGTGATCTTGGCATTATCATTTCCACATCTCTTTTGAAACTGATTTGAATTTCAAAGCTTTTCTCCTTTTTTGCCAGAGCAAGTGATTATTTTTAGATTTCTTTTTAGCAGATTTTCATTGACTAAAGAGTGGGTTGTGGCACATTCTTGTCCTTTGGTCTTACATCTGTCTTTCACACTTAACCAAATAGGTAAGTACTCATTCCTACAGGAACTTCTGCTTTATTTGGAGGTCAGTCCTGTGGTTTTTTTTGTGTGTGGATCATTCACTCTTTGAATAAATTAGGACCCCATCCCCAGGTCTGCTTTTCCTTTGCTTCCTTCCTGCTGTGCCCTTAGAGAACCTTTTTCTTTTGTTTTCTTTTCAGTCCTTCTGTGATGACACCTCAGGGAAAGAGGATAATGCAGTAAGGGAGAGTTGCCCTCCCAGTCCTTTCTGTTGGTGGGAATTTGAGCAAACTGCCACTTTTTGTGTATATGTGTGTACTAAATGAACTCTTTCGTTGGAGGTGGGTGAGAGCTTATGAGTTCCTAAAGTGTTCAGTGTCTCCACTCTTGCCTTGGGCAAATGGTTTTCAAGTAGTACCTTAGAGGAGGTGAAGGAGAGGCTGGTCTGAGTACTCTGTATGCTGTCCTTCAGATATGCTTTCCTCCCTGTTCCACCATCATGTCCAAGGGACTTCAAAGAGAACTGGCGCAAGGTCAAGGTGGTGTGGGGTGTTCAGAGCAAAGGCTTTGGATGCAGAAGGCAATGTATCTCCGTCATATCTCAAAACCTCTGAAGTTCCAGTTTCCTTGTCTGTGAAACGGGCTATTCAATGATGATTAGGGGATAAAAAAGTAAAATCATTACTCATACAAACATGAAACGGAAATATGTCAGAAATTTTATATAACATTAACTAATAAGAGAACCAGTAAGATGTTACAAACAATTCAAAGGACAATTCTAAGAACGCAGCATTATATAAGGCCATCAGGCATGCTGAAATGAATTAGCAAATGTTGCAAGACTCAATATCCACAGGGCAATAATCGTTGCATTACACCAGGCCAAATCCTTTTGCATTTTTTTTGCATCACTCTTGGTTTTCTACAATTTACAGAGTCAAAATAGCTCCAAGACAATCAAAAGGCTCACTTTACAAGGATACCAGTACTTTTTATGTTCATTTCAAAGTCTTTTCAGTTTCTCCTGATAGGGCAAATGATTCTTAACCTTGCAAGTTATTAAAGGATTAGAGATGATATGACATACGTAAAGTTCCTAGTGCAGGAAGTGTGTAGCTGATGGTGGCTACATGCTTAAACACGTTCAGGTGTCTCATTTCTCTTGACTGCCTGACCTAGTGTTCGCACTGTTTGGTTAACTGCTGATCCAGGCTCCTGATTTTTCTCACTACCCTATCAAACATCCTATCTTTTCTTTTCTTGCTCAAAGTTATGTGTATTTTTTAAAAACTGGAGTTGAAATGAAAATGCTTTTGAGAATACACAGGAATTTTTAAAAATAATTTTATTCACACCAAACTTTTAAAACTAACAGAAATCACATTACTGGTGAGAGATAACCTTAAACTGAAGACTAGGGAATGTGGGTGTTTGTATGATACTGATCAGGCCACCTCCCCTCTGCCCTCTCTTCATCTCTAAAAGGAATACAGTAAACTTCAGTCTTTTTTTTTTTTTTTTGAGAGGGCATCTCTCATATTTATTGATCATATGGTTGTTAACAACAATAAAATTCTGTATAGGGGACTCAATGCACAATCATTAATCAACCCCAAGCCTAATTCTCAACAGTCTCCAGTCTTCTGAAGCATAACGAACAAGTTCTTACACAGTGAACAAGTTCTTACATGGTGAACAGTACAAGGGCAGTCATCACAGAAACTTTTGGTTTTGATCACGCATCATGAACTATAAACAATCAGATCAATTATGATTATTCATTTGATTTTTATACTTGATTTATATGTGAATCCCACATTTCTCCCTTATTATTATTATTATTATTATTTTTTGAATAAAATGCTGAAGTGGTAGGTAGATGCAAGATAAAGGTAGAAAACATTAAACTTCAGTCTTTTGACTACAGGTTTTGTAACTCCCCCAACCCCCATACTCCCCAGCACTTCAGTTACTTTTCTTTATTTTAGGTTTTATTGTGGCAAAATATACATAACATACCTTTTGCTATTTTAACCATTTTTAAGTATATAATTCAGTAGCATTAAGTACATTCATAGTGTCATGCATCCATCACCTCTGTCTACTTTCAGAACTTTTTCACCCCAAATGAAGCTCTGTACCCATTAAACAATAGCTCTCTATTCCTCCCTTCTTCCTGCCTCTGGTGACCCCCCTTCTGCTTTCTGTCCTGTGAACTTGCTGTTCTCGATACCTCATTAAGTGCAATCACATCTGCCCTCTTGTGTCTGGGTTTATTGTACTTAGCATGGTATCTTCGAAGTTCATCATATGTTAGAGCATTATCAAAAATTAACTCCTTTTTAAGGCAGAATAATATTCCCTTATATGTGTATTCCACATTGTGTTCATCCATTCATCTGCTGACGGACATTCGGGTGTTGCCATCTTTTGGGCTCATGTGTGTGAATAATGCTCCTGTGAACACGGGTCTGAGTGTTCATACGTATCTTTTGGTGTACATGTATCTCGGTACCTGCTTTCAGATCTTCTGATTATATATTTTCATAATATATAATTGCTTGGATTTGTTTGTATCGGGGTGTTGTTTTGGTTTTGTTTTTGCTTATTTTTCTATATAAATTTAAGAAACAGCTGGCACTATCAGTGTTTTTATTGGGTTGTGTAAAACACATTTTCTTAATGATCATTAATATCTTTATAACATTAAAATATTCCTACTCAAGAATATGGTATAAATTTGTTTGTTTAGTTCATCTTTTATGTCCTGTAGAAAGACTTCCTTATAGAGGTCTGACATGTTTCTTGTTAAATTTATTCCTAGGTGTTTTATCTTGTTGCTATTGTGATGAGGTGTAATTTATATGTACTAAAGCCCGGTGACCGTTGGAGGTACACATTGTTGATTCTGTCATTGGGGTAGGGTTGGTCTCCCTGTGAGCTTGCTCTTGCTTGAACTATCAACTTCTGGAGGAAAAGGTGCTACAGGGGTTTACTCCTGGAACCTGCCTTCCAATTCTGGTTTTCCCCTAAGCTTCCCAGACAGAAAACCTCAGGGAATGTTTTTTAAACTGGGTCTTGTTTTGCTCAAATGTACCTTCCTAATGATTTAATTTCTCAGCAAGAAGACAGTTTCGTGGTGGGCACAGCCGAGGGGACAGTATTCCATTTTCAGCTGGTCTCTGTGACTTCCAGCAGCAGTGAGAAGCAGTGGGTGCGGACAAAGCCCTTCCAGCATCACACCCACGATGTGCGAGCTGTGGCGCACAGCCCAACGGCACTGATATCTGGAGGTGGGTTCCTCTCTCCCAGGCCGCAGCTTTGCTCTGCCCCACTCTGATCATTTTAATGCAGGACTTCTTCTAATTCTATTGCCTTTTCCCCTCCCCCTCCCACACCAGGCACTGACACCCACTTAGTCATCCGTCCTCTCATGGAGAAGGTGGAGGTAAAGAATTATGACGCTGCTCTCCGGAAAATCACTTTTCCCCATGTAAGTATCACCCCCTAATCTCCACTGTCCCTCATCTCCCCACCTGCCGGCCCCACAACATTGAGCATAGTTCACACTTCTTAGGCAAATCTGGAAGACTTCTGTAGTTACTACCTTCATTCTTATGTCTTTGAGGCAAGCCTCTTGCAAAGATATTTACAAGGACCAAGAGATTTGCAGCAGCACTCCCAGTTCAGTTTCTGGGGAAGTCATTCCCTTTTCCAGATAGTTATGGATTATGAGGATTTTGTTTGTTTTTAAGGCTGGGTTCTTTATTATTTTGGGTGGGAGCAGGAAAGTCAAGGCTTCCAGGGTTGCTGTCTAGGTAAATGGACATCTTCCCGACCTAGAAACCCTTCTTCCTGCTACCTGCTTCCACGTTGCATTCAACCAACAGACCTTAGTGAGCCTGCCTCCTCATGAGCTCTTGAATCTATGCATTTTCCTTTGTCTACGCTGCCATTATCCCAGTTTGGATCAATATCTTTTCTCATCTGGATTCCTTTACAGTAGCTTGTTAATGATCTTTTATTTATATTTGTGTCATTCCAGCATATTCTGCATATTCTGTTCAAAAAGCAGCCTTGTTTATCACTCCATGTCTAAAACTGAAAAGCCTTCTGTTGGTCCCTCATGCCTTCGTGGAGGGACCAACATACATAAACCCCTAATTCCTTAGCATGGCCGAGGCAGCCTGTCTTGATCTGCCCTGGTCCTGTAGTTTCTCTCCCCTCTCTACTCAAACACCGGCAGCACCCCAGCCACCCCCAGCCTCCCACCGTCTTGCCCTTCTGAAAGACTCCTCATTTTCTGTCTAATGCTCTTGCCTTTGAGCTATTTCACATGCCATCCCTCTGCCTGGGACGTCTTGCCCTGCATTCTTTGCCTAACTAGTCTTTCCTAGTGAACCTCATCTGGGCTCCTGTCTTTGCCCACATTAGGCTACATTAGATATCCTTTCTACATTTTTCATTAAATACTGTACTTAGCCATCTTCAGATTCTTAGCACACCTAATGTAATTGCTTACTTAATTCTATGTTCACCTTTCACACTATCTACTTAACAGTAGTAACTATGTTTTTATTTACCACTATGTTCTTAGATCCTAGTTTAGTGCCTGGCATGTGGTAGTACTTAGGAAATACTTATCAAGTAAATGGGTTTCCATGGTAAAAAGATATGCTAAGATGTTGGCTGCTGTATCTGGTTTTGAGGCAATAGATGACCCTGGCTTCTTTATCACTTTTCAATTCTTGGATACAGCGATGCCTCATTTCCTGCTCAAGGAAGAGGCAGCTTCTCCTCTTCCAGTTTGCTCATCACTTGGAACTTTGGCGACTGGGATCTACAGTGGCAACAGGTAAGATGAGAGAATTTTTTGGAGAGAGAAATTAGAATTAGAGGACAGAAATTAGAATTGCAGCTGACATTCTGTTTATGGAAAAACAGAAGCAGATGTTTCTGTGTCCACTGGAATTTATGGTTTTCCCACCCACTAGATAGAGCAAAGGAGATCTTCAGAGTGAGGGAATTATTAGCAGGATACTGGATCGTCTGTTAAAAGCTTGTGATTCTGTACAGTGTCCAGTGATGGTGTACTGCAGGGGACAGCTGCGGAATAGTGGTTTGCCCTGGTTTGACAGGAATCAAAATAGCTGTTGGAAAACAACACAATTTAACATTGGGTAGTGACAGCCCTATGTGTAAAAGGTCACATGGGTCTTAACTGGGGTGACAGTCTGCTGGCCTTTTGTATGATTTGTTCAGGAAATGTTTGGGTCCTATTCTGTAGTGGATTAGAGGTTTTTGCCTTAGGTTCCAAAACGAGCAAATGAAGCTGACTCCCAGGCCAGGCAAAACTCCACTAGTGCCCACCTGCATGTGCTGCGGGGCTCTGCATTAGTGATGGGCCACAGGCCACATCCCAGGCCAGGCCCCCAAACAGAAACTAAGAACGTACTCACTGCTTTCCTCTTCATAAACCCCCAGAGAACTGTGGGCTTACTAAGTCAGACGTTTTTCTAATTTCCCACTGGTAGAGATTCCATTCTACTGAGGAATGGCTTTTTAAAGGAAAAATATGTACAAATAGCTTTTCTTGAGAAGAAAGCTCTCGGGGAAATTTCTTGTTCTAGGAAAGAATGGGGATACTCTTCCACTCTCTAAAGATGCAGATCACTTACTCCACCTCAAGACAAAGGTAAGGTAGTTTTAATTTTAACTGTATCCCGGCTCTGAAATCCAGAACATCTTTCTCTCTCTGTATTTTGTGGGTTACTCAGTTGACATCATAAACTAAAATCTAAAATTACATGTGTGTAAATATAAAATGAGTGACGTACTATGTCAACAGAAGCAGGTTTCCTGTGATTTTTAAGTTGGGCATTCAGAATTTATTAGACTAATGAATACAGGAAATTGTTCCTCATCCTTTGGTGGTATTATGAAAAGAACTGGTATATTTTTTTTAAATTCAAGTGGTACAAAAGAGTGTATAACGAAAAATAAGCCTCCTCCTTACACTAAATCCCTGATCCTAATCTCCAGAGATAATCACTGCCAATAGTTTCTTGAATATCCTTCCAGAAAAAACTCCACTCATGTGTACAAGTGTATATACCCTTTCTTTTTGTAGTAATAGGAGTATGTTATATAAACTGCTTTGCATTTTTCTTTTTAAAAATCTTTATTTTAATCACACAAATATTTGTGAATACAGTTTTACTATTAAGATTTCAAACACTATTGATAGGCTATATCCTTGTATGTCTCTTTAATTCTAGGCTCCTCCCTGTACTATTGTTAATTGATTAGCTGTATATCCTTCCAGATCTTTTTCTGCATGAGAGTATGTGTATACATATCTACATGCATACATATGTACATTTAGATATTTTGCAAGTTTTTTGAATTATATAAATGTTACATTAAACCTTTCCTTTGTTCTGCAAAATATTTGCTTGCTGTTTCTTAGAGGTGTTTAAAGAGGTTGTAACTGTAGACAAAATGGAAAATCATGTTCTCCAAGTCACCTGGCCTCCAAAGCATTCCCAGCATTAAAATGACTCCCTGCTGAGGTTTTTAAAGTTAGGGATTGGTAGGATGATATCTATGAAGCACACCAAAGGCTGAGATAAATTCACAGTATTCATAAGAGGGTTCTTGGTTTTGGAAATCAAAGCCATACCATTTAGATGCTCTACTTCTGAAAAAAATCAGTGACACATAGCATATGAGTGTCAGGATTATGTGTAGGTATTTATGGGAATGTCCAGAGTGGCAGTATCTTGAGGATTCATGTCACAGTGACCCTTGTTTTATGAAGTTTTACTTGAACATTCATCCTCATTCTTAAACATTACCAGGGTCCTGAGAACATTATTTGCAGCTGTATCTCCCCATGTGGAGGTTGGATAGCCTATTCTACAGCTTCTCGGTTTTTTCTCTATCGGCTGAATTATGAAAATGACACCATAAGCCTCCAGAGGGTAAGTGATAACACAGAGAGAAGAAACTTCATAAGTGTGTATTTTTTGTGTGAAGTGGGAATGTACTGGATGTGAATCCTTGCTCAATTAAAAATTATTTGGAGACAGCTGTTGCAAAACGGTTGTTCATATCCATTTTGAATTGATTATGTTTTGGGAGGAGTAAGGAAATGTCAGAAAGTGCCAGTGAAGTTTAGGCTTTAGAAGAGATGAAATAGGGAACGTCTAGGTTACAATAGGCACATCGGTGTTCCAGGCCCTTGGTCAGTTGACTTCCTTAGAGACCGGAAACAGTAATGTAACTTAAGCCTGGCTGTGACTCTTTTTGATGGGCTCTGGGTCTCACTTCCCTCTCTTAATGGTTTTTACTGCTGTTTTACCCTAAGGTTTCCAAAATGCCAGCATTCCTTCACTCTGCCCTTCAGATTTTGTTTTCTGAAGATTCAGCAAAGCTCTTTGTGGCCTCAAATCAAGGGTCTCTACATATCATTCGGCTGTTAGAAGGAAGCTTCAAATACCTGCATACTTTTCAGCCTCAGTCAGGTGAGAAATTGGTAACATGCCAGGGGAGAGAGTTGTTAGTCTCTGGTGTATATTTTTTTTCCTTTGAAACAACATTCATTTGGGGGGTGGGGGGTTCCCTAATGCTCTTCTCCACCCTACAAATACACACTCACATGTTTGCAGTTTAAAGTAGGAGGAGATACCTGGTAAGTGGAAATGCTTAATGAGATCTGATTGTTGCTCACACCTACTCTTTTCTCACTGGGGTTGATTCCTTATTTGGGGCCAGAAGGTTTCATCACCCTTCTTAGAGAGTTTTGTTAGCTCAGCAAGAGGAAAGTTAAAATTATCTGTAATCCTGACATCCAGGAATAACTGCCATTAATAGTTTTGTATATTTCCAGTATGTGTTTGTATGTTGGTGTTTTGTGGACATGTTAATTTTTTGGGTTGTTTGTATAAAGATAAACTTACAAATACAGTTATATTACCTGTCATATAATGTCCATGACTTTCTTTCCATATTCTTCAAGAATATGAGTGCATGTGAGTAACTGGAGCTAACTCTTGCTGAGTTCATTATTGAGGACTTTGTAGCCAGCACTTCTGCCTTCTCCTTTGCCCTGGATTATAGTGCCTCGCTGTCATTTAGTCTCCATCAGCCTAGAAAATCAACTCTTTTAGCTGAAAATCTCACTCTTTATAGGTTGCTCCAGAAGCATACAGAAAAAGAAACCTGCAAATTAGGAGTCAGATAAACTGACAATATGTGTTCAATACCTGTATATGTTTTTATTGTAAAATTTAAACTCTTCATCTTGCAATTAGTATCCCTTAAAGATGGGCTGTACCTGATGTATATAACTTTTTCTTCTCCTTTCTCACCTCACTTCCTCTTACACTCAATCTGGTTTCTTCACAGCCCTCAAACCTGTGTATGCCAGTCCTTATCACTTAGCACATGCTTTTCTCCATCCTGTTTCTAACCACCTTGCCTGTCCTTTAGCATCCAGTTTACATCTTTGTTTAAAGCCTGTTCAACGTTTGGGTGTGTTATATGCAGCACATATTTTAGCGTATAGCTTCACTGTCTTAATTTTATCCCACATGAGCCTGCATGTTGCCAGATTGGTTTAAAAAGATGGCTCATAGGTGCCCATGCTCCCTTAGGGTAAATATATAGCAGGCATCCAGTAAATTAAAGATATGCTTCAAGCCCATTCAATTTGCTGTTTGTCCTTAACTTTGATTAAAAACCACTGGGTAGGAAAAGAGTGTGAAGCAATTACCATACAGATGTCTGTGGCAGCTACTGCCCAGGTTATCCATTCCCGCACTGGGCAGTGTCTCACTCAGGTCTGAGCAAGTGGTGCTACCAAGTTTATCTCTCTGGCTGCTCCTCACAGGAAGGCCGGATGCCTAATTACGTGAAAAGAGTACACCCATTCACATCTAGAACTAACTTGCAAAACCATCAGGCAATTATCCAATCAGTAATTTAAAACAGGGCCTTGTTGGCCTTTGCTGTCATCTTCAGGGAAGGGCTGGCTGTGGACACCGGCTTCAGAGACTTACTGTTGTTCTGGTCTCACAGGGACGGTGGAGTTCATGTGTCTTTTGGCAGTCAGTTCAGATGGGAATTGGCTAGCTGCATCGGGTACCAGTGCTGGGGTCCACGTGTACAACATAAAACATCTAAAGGTGAGCATAGCGTTTAGTAGCAGCAAACAGGAGGAAGTTAGCCCTGCAGTTAAAAGACTCAAGACAGTTGGGTATGACTGGAACATTTTTGGACTTCTTTCTTTAACTGAGAATTTCTCTTATTTCCCTTGTCTGGAACCCAAGAACTATATAGTCTGTAACATTAAAGTCAGTCCCTGGGAATAATGAAACCACTCAGTATAAAAACTATAAATGGAGGATTTATGGGTGATGAAAAATACTTCTGTATTTTTGGAGAGGAATATTCTGATTTACCTAGATGGATAGTTGCACACAGTAACAATTTCCTTTAATAGTTCGCCTTGTAATCTCAAAGTATTTTTAAATAAAATCAAACCAGAAATTTGACAAAGGAGTAGCAGGAAAACATTTTTCATTAATCAATAATGATTTTTTTTGTCATTCACACATTAAGTCACTAATGATCTCTTACAAGTCCTCATTTCATCATAGAAGTTAGATAAGAACTACCAAAACTTGCAATAAGCACTTAGTTTATAGAATAATACCTCACTTCCATGCTCACTGGGTTTGCCTCCTGTTAACCTGCATAACTTAATCTTTATTACACCGTGGCAAGAGCATGTCCTGCTTTTTGAGCCTTGCCTGGCATTTAAAAATCTTGCTGTTGAGTGGTGCACATGCCTTGCAGTTGTGCATAAATATCCATGCTTAGACATTAATTTCAAATCTGGTGTAGAGCTGTAAATTCCCTGTTCAATGACATGTTTATGAGCACTTCATACAGTTGTAGAGAGAATGGGGAAAGCTTTACTTCATAGTTTTATAAGCAAATGAACAGGCATTTCTGAAAATGAAATTAGTTTATTGTTTGGGGAGATATCTGACATTTATCTGTGGGAACTTCCATAGAAAGAACCCTTTGAGGCCCAAGGAACACTATTTAAAAACATCTGACCTAGACCATCAGTCTTTTCTGAGGGAAGGCATCATCTCAAGTTGTCCTTTGTGTCTGTTCCTCATTCCCAGCTTCACTGCACAGTGCCTGCTTACAACTTCCCTGTGACTGCTCTGGCCATCGCCCCCAGTACCAACAACCTTGTTATCGCTCATTCTGACCAGCAGGTAAGAGATTCCTATGCTTTCTAGTTCCTTCCTGCCATGTCGTAGCTTAGAAGCTGAGATAATATGAAGGTGGTTTTCTCCTGTGGGAAGCAAAGCTTCCCTGAGTAGCCTGGGTGCCTCATAGGCCAGTAACATTCATTGGTCTCAAGGGGCACAGCGGAATGGGAAGCCCTGAGATTCTAGAGGGACAAGAAGGAAGAGGAATTTTGAAATACTTGCTTTACTGACTGTTTTTAGACATCACTCAGGTATCAAACTGGATATGGAATGGAATAACTTTTGAGAGTTGAAAGTGACTAAAGGACCGTATAATTCACCTTCACTGTTGCCAATGAGGAAATCAGGCCTTAGTGAGATCAGGTACCTAATGTCAACCAGAACTGGTGCTTAGTCTACTGCTTTTTTTCCATAACAAGCTGTAAGGCGATGCTCTTTATTTATTTTCTTCCGAGGGAAAAGATCTTCAAATACCTGAGCCACAGAACACATTATGAAATTATCAGTACTTACATATCCTCATCTGTAAAATGGGCGTGATGATACCTTCCTCACTGAGCTGTTGGAAAGAGTAAATAGGAGCTGAGAGGCGTACTAGTAGACTGCTAGGCAAATGATGCTTGTTACTTTGCTCAATAGTTTTTATACTCACACAAACACATATTCACATACTATCCAAAACGTGAAATCTCTCAGCTTTGTGGATTTGGGTCCTTGATTTTTGATCGGTGAAGCCATGTCCTTGTCGTCTTTGTCACACATAATGGTAATGTCCACCTGATGCCTGTTACTGGCTGTTGGTCCCTTAAGTGTTTCAGTCACTAAAACTGGTGGGAAATTGTTTTGTACCTTTTAGATTAGCGAAGATTGAATAGAGTTGCTAATACATAGTGCCGTGAGGGTACAGGGAAACAGCACTTGATACATTGCGTAAATTAGTATGATCCCTTTAGAGGACATTTTGGGCAATATCTAAAAAAAATTTTAAATCAATGTAATCTTTGATTCATAAGTTGTGATTCTAAAGATTCTTCCTACAAACATAATGCTTTCAGTTGTCAAAAAGACATTGATACAGAGATAATCATTGCAGCTTTATTTGTAGTAGCCAAAGATTGCAAATAACCCAAATGTCCATTCAGCAGACAAGGTAAAGAAATTTCATGGTACATCCAAGAAGTCAGTGGGTTATTATGAGCTCTTACAGAGGAGCGCGAGTGATCTACATATATACTGATATGGGTCAATCTCCTGATAGGCTAAAAGAAAAAAGCAACATACAGAACAGTGTATATTGCATGCATAAATATCTCTGAAAAGATGTAAATAAGATAGGCTGCTTTGTCTTGGGGAAAAGAGATGTCAGGATTGCAGGGTGACTTTTCACTGTAAATCTTTCTATGCAGTTTGAATTGTTTGGTGATTTGCCTTAAAATTTTTTTATTAAAAAAAATAGGAAACATAATGCTTAGTATGATATAGTTCAAGACTTATATAGATATTTTCTGGTTAGGAATGTAGGGATATCCTCTTGTCTCTCTCAGTACCAGCCTCCATTTCCTCTGTGTCATATCCTTCCTCAGGTATTTGAGTACAGCATCCCAGACAAGCAGTATACAGAGTGGAGCCGGACCATCCAGAAGCAGGGGTTTCATCACCTTTGGCTCCAAAGGGATACTCCCATCACACACATCAGTTTTCACCCTAAGAGACCAATGCACATCCTTCTCCATGATGCCTACATGTTCTGCATCATCGACAAGTCGCTGGTGAGTTCTTCACCACTCCCACCTGTGCTCTCACTGATTCTTTACTTAGGAATCTTCAAGTTCTAAAAGCAACAAGAATGGTTAAGTTAAAGGAAGGAGAATCAGAGTAAAAGTTCCCAGTATATTCTTTGGAGGAGAGGAGCTTTTGTTGTGCAGATTTTCTCATTTTATTCCCAGCTCAGGAGGCTCCCAGGGAAGGGGCAGGCTGTGTGTACTGGTTTTTGTTGATTTTACCATTTCTCTACTTTTCCTATAAGCACATAAACTTGAGGAAAGTGTTTAGGTCAGTATTCAGAAGGTGACCCTCAACGGGGAATGCCATTGATTTGGTTGAATCACGTCCACCTTTGGACCCCAGAGTGACTGAATAACTTAATTTTATTAAAGGAGATAGAGGTTGAGGTTTTGACCACTTGTGCCCTTTGGCTGAAGAAACCTAAACACTATCTGTGGGCTTGAGGAGTTGCTCTTAAGTGTCTTGACAGAAGGCCAGTTAGGAAAATTATATTCTTCATGGCTGTGATTTAGGTGGGATGTGAGCATATGTTTCAGTTCTAGATTCCAGCCTTTGCCAGCAACTGTTTTGATTCACCCCAAATTTTACATGTGTTTTTTGGGCAAATGCTTTCTTTCCTAAGAGCACTGTGAGCTGTGGCCAGCCATGTGATGCACTTTGGGCTTAAATTACAACCACCAGTGTTTGGTTTATCTGTGAAGGTGGGGGTGGGAGGAACTTGAGAAAGCAGCAGATGGCTTTAAAGGAGGTATGCGTGGTCATGTGTCACTGGAGCCCCTCTCATGGGCTTTGGGTCCTCTGCGTGTGGGAAGCAGAGCTGGCTGACAAGTGCCTTCTGCAGGTTGAGTGATGCAGGAAGCCATCCCGCTTTTCCCCCCTTGCCTTCAACTAGCCTGCCTTTGTAACACAGCCCAGATTGGCCTGTATTTTTTTTTCTCAAGTGTTGGTAATAACTCCATCACTTTCTCATGCTGGGCAGAGCTATTTCCCAAGGAAGTCAGAGGTGAAATATCACTTGCTTGGCCAGAGGCCATCTCTTGAGGTGTCAATGACATAAGTGGGGGTGTAGTTTGCATTGCATGGGTTTGCCTGGGGAGAACTTTAGGTCACTTGGCCAGTCCGTGATCTGGTGGGAAGGAGAGTCTGGAACACAGAGCTGGCATGGGCTGAGCTCCTACACATGCCAGTTTGTTCCTGTCTCACAAACTTTTACTGACAAGACTGGCTGGAAGCCCCAGCAGAGCCCTTGATCTTGCTGCTGTAGAGTGCCAAGTTCTTCGCCTCATACGCCGCCCCTACAGTACTGCTGGAAGAGGAGCTGTGGCTTCCTTCCTGAAGCAAGGAGAGTCAAGGAGGTAGTAAATGTGTAATGTGTGGTTGGAGATGGTGTTTGCCTGAAGGATCACTGTAGTGCTTTGTTCTGTAGAAGCCCAGTACAAATAATGATTTAAACAGTATATCTTTGTCTTTTTAGCCTCTTCCAAATGACAAAACCTTACTCTACAATCCACTTCCTCCCACGAATGAATCAGATGTTATCAGGAGGCGCACAGCCCATGCCTTTAAAATTTCTAAGATATATAAGGTAAAATATCTTGCATTATATTCTAGATGGTTTATTCCTTGTGATATTATCAAAATATAATAAGCACCACAATAGGAAGACAAGAACACCTTCGTTTTACATGCAGAGAACCTGGTTTTGGGAGACAAGTGCCTTTTCTGGGCAAGTCTGTCCCTTATGTCTGTGTTTCTTTGTTCTTGCCTTAGTATGTTAGAGGCAGGCATGTCATACTTAACCAAAATGAAATATATAAGTAGTGAAAAATGATGTTGGAGCTCAGGTGGGACCTTTGTTTGCTTTTAAATTTGGAGAATGTTCTGTAAGATAAATTTCAAGCAAATGGAAGTCATTGAATTTATTATGACTTTCTTTTTTGAGCTAGGCTTTTTATTCCATACAAGCATCCATCAAGCTTATACTACAGCTGTTTGTGCCAACTCAGATGTTCCATATTCATGCTTCTCAGATGGGAGTTCCTTGGGTGTCCTGGAATATTTTCTCAGGGGTCTGTGAGAATTTTTTTTTTTTTTAATATTCAAATGTAATTAGCTTCTTGATGCATTTTTAACTTGGCTGTTTGTCAAGAATTCAGGCTTTAAAGCCATCCATTAACACCGATTCCTAAGAAATTAGAGAATCAGATGTTCTGTACAGAGAAACATGAAAAATCTTGCTGAAATCTTTTATGTGTGAACTCAGTTAAAAAATTTCAAGCTTTCAAACCATGTGAGTACTAGGGCTGGAAGGACTGGTAGAGGTGTAGGGCCCTCCAGCCTTGACCGTGCTAACTTTTTAGCTCTAGGCAGTCTGTTCAGGACCCGCCCTGGAGCCTGCCTCCTGGTGGAATCACTGTCATCTCTCTACAGCCTTTGCTCTTCATGGATCTCTTGGATGAGAGAACACTGGTGGCAGTAGAACGGCCCCTGGCTGACATCATCGCTCAGCTCCCACCACCTATCAAAAAGAAGAAATTTGGGACCTAAAACAGGGCACTGTCTGTGTCATTGCTGTTTGTTTTCACAAATCATGATAATAAAACAAAGTTATTCTTTAGGACTAGTCACTGTGAATGTTATCTTCCAAAATAAGGGGCTGTAATTCCCCTTTGTGAATGGAGTGGGAACAAGGTGTGTCGTTGGGGTAATGTTTCAGCCAGCTATAATTTCATCCAAATTTTTCAGGGTCCTGTTTGTTCTTTAGAGCACATCTCAGGAAAAAGATTACCCTCTGTTGTGTAACACATAGCTAAGGCTTCAGAGGGCTGATGACCTTCACTGTCCGCCAGTCTGTAGCCCATGCGATGGTGGGGCACCTGCCCAGCACTGCCCGAGGGGGCAGCAGGAGAACTACCTGCAAGGGGACAGGAGAACTACCTGCGCGCTCCGGACGGCCTAACTTCCAGTAACGGTATCAGCCTTCTGTTTCAGGAAGAATTTTAACCGCACTTTCTGTCTGAAAAATAGATGCCTTTGGCATTTGGTATTCGTTTTATTTAAAAGGAAAAAATCAGGCTTTGGGATATCAGTCCCATTAACCATCTTTCCATCTGTCACATATGTCAGTTTCAAAGGTTAAGGAAACACTGGGCAGGGATTTTATTAAGGCATAGGAGTGGAGGTGGGGACAAGAAAACCTGCTATGTTTCACCTTTTGTGCCCACTTCTACCTGCATTGACGTTGTTATCAACTGACGAGTTTTAATGTAATCTTTTAACTTAGAAAGTGAAGAACTATAGTTAACCTGAACTGATCCAGATAGGTTTCTTTCCCATCTCAGTGGTTGTATTTTGTTGCATTCCTGTGGAAACCCAGTATGTGTGCTTTGTTTGTTTTGGGGATGGAGGGCTGTGCCATAGGCAGAGAAGTATGTGGGTTCTGATGACGTCATAAGCGGAGAGCTGGTCAAAACCGCTTTGGCCAAGATGAGCCCTACCCTCCAGTCTGGAAAGGGAAAATCAAATAAAAATTTAAGTAGATGAGTGGGAGGAGAATAAACAGAAAGGTAATGAGGGAGGTAAGGAGCCTAATACTTTGTAACAGAAGGGATAGCCTATTTCATGTTTGCTAAGAGGGAACAGATGAAACAAGGTTTATAGTGGATGCCACTTCTGTACCTTCCCTGTTGAGGTTTTTACAGTGATAGGAGTAATTTAAACAAATAGCTGCAACTTTTTAAACCCTCTATAAAATAACTCTTATTTCCTCTTCCTTGAATAAATTTCCTTAGGCATATTCTCCCAGCCTGTGTTAGAAAAGACTCTCACACCCTTTCAGGAGACTAGAAGGTCCTGCCCTTCCTAAAAAATGTTTTAGGTCTTCTGGTGTGGAAACCAAAGTTCAAGTCCCTGATCTACACTGAATATGACCAGATGGAGGCCAGGATGCCTCAAATATTAACTCATTTGGTTTTCACTGACTAGAGTATAAATTCAGAGAATCATTTTTTATTAACTGGAGTCTAGTAAAGATTTGATTTAATAACCTTAAGCATATTCTGAAAGCTCATAGATTATGGAGGGTGTAATTCTGACAGGGCTCACAGATCTGAGCGAAGACGAAAAACTTTTGAAAGTAGAGGAAGCATTCCTTTCCAGCCAGTGATTTGGATTTCCATAAATGGTATGGGAAGTAAGAGCTTTGGGTCTTGAAGTTCTTCCTAAGTAGAGAACTTTGAATACTAATGAAGCAGAAACTGACTGGGGCAAGTTAGAGCAACTGGGGGAAGGGAAGGCAGAGCAGTGTCAAATAAGAGGAACACTTGAGTGCATAATGTTTCAGGGTAATTTTACTTTGGGGACTTGTGTAACTTAGACGCATTATGTTTCTGTTTTGGGCATTTTGCAGACTATCGCTCATGGCTGGGTTCTACAGAAAAATTCTGATCTAAGACCAACTTAGGAAAGGTCTTTTTTGCTAACCTGATTCAAATGCTTTAAACATTCATTTTCTCATATTATAGTTAGTACTCTGATCTCTGAATGGATAATGCATCCTTTACCATGGAGATTAGAGCAAATTAGATTGAGAGAAAATAAAATCTTAGAATATTGGAAGAAAGTAACCATCCAGTTTGGGTTTTTTTAAGTTTTTTCTAAAAGCATCAACATTTTTTCAAATAGAACTTTATTCTGAGCCTCTATATGATAGAGTGGTCCTGGTTCTGGCCGGGGGAGGAAGCAGAGGTTTTAAAAGAAACCATGTGCCTTCTTAACCCCATTTTTATTTTTATTTTTCTTAGCAAAAAAGTAAAGTTTGTTATTTTAAACTAACTGGAGAATATTGAAAATTGGAAGAACAACTGCATGAAAACACACATTTTAAAGTTGCAGTTATTTTATTTATATCCACATGGAAAAGAGAGCAAGAAGAGGAGAGGTGATTTTTCCCATGGTCGCACAATGGTTTGATAGAGGCCAAGGTGACATTCTTACAATTACTCTCCCACTGTCTCTTGGTTGTAAGGACCCAATCATCCATAAATAGGATCAGCAGGCATGATACATAAAAGATTTCCCATTTTGCACATTGCAGGGAAGGTGTTTAAGTGTTTCCTGCACTTGATTTAGCTGCTGAGTTCTGTGGGCATCTTGTGTGTAAATCAGACAGATCATAACGAGCAACCTACTGCAGTTTCTGCTTGTGCTCACATGTGGGTGTTTCTCTAGGGTTAATTCCTGGGAATGGAATCAGTAACTCATACTCTGCCCATTTTCTTTCACTTTGAGTTCCCTTTGGAGTGGCACTATTTTCATCAGAAGTGCAGAATTTGAAAGGATTCTTTTCCTTACACCTTGCCAATGTGGTGATAGACTTTAGTTTTAGACTGTTTCATTGGTGAAAAATAATGTCTCATTTTATTTTTACATTTGCCTGTTTACTAATGAGATTGCACACTTTTTTGTGTTTTGGCTGTTTGGCTAATTGTGTAATTACATATTCATAACCTCTCCTTTTTCCCTTAATGTGTTGTCTTTTTCTTCCTCATTTCAAGGTTTTTCAAGACATAAGTCAGCATTGTCCTGTAATCTGTCTGTGATGGTGGGAATGTTCTGTAAATGAGCTGCGCAATAGGGCAGTTACATGTGGCTGTTGAGCACTTGAAATGTGGCTATTGCAAAAAAGGAACTGAGTTTTTAATTTTATTTAAATAGCCACAAATGGCTATTGGCTTTTGAATTGGACAGCATGGGTCTACATACTAAGGTTTAGCTTTTGTCTTTAGGAAGTTACAGAACTTAATACTTCACATTTATTGAGTGCCTACTATATGCTATGCACCAACAACAGTGGAAAGATGATTTCAACCCTCAAGAACTTCATAGCCTAGTAGGGGAGAGAAACAAGTTGATTAGTGATGCTACATTAGAGATGAGGATAGAGAAGGAACACCTAACCAGTAAGGTTAGGAGATAAGGTTGAAAGTAGGAGATGGTCCTTGAGCTACTAATTCGAAATTGGGTGGCAGTTAGCGAGGTGGAAGGGCAAAGAAAGGAGGCGTTCATGGAGCCTTCTCAATGCAAAGGCCTGAAGCATGTGAGCGCATAGCCTGTCCAAAGGACTGCCAGCAGTTCCATGTGGTTGAAGCACTGCATATATTGGAAATGGAGGAAAATAAGGCTGACAGGGCAGTCAGGGCCCTACCATACTAGAGAGCACGCATGTCTCAGGTGGGAAAGCTAACCCCGGGAGGGTGACAGCTTCCCTGGTTGGTAGTAATTAAGAACCAGGTGAGATTCCTAGAAAAATATTAGAGTAGAACAGTTCCCCAGAAGAAAGCTAAGCAGTTTAGAAAGTGTAGGGCAAAGATAAGCAAACTTGGATAAAGGGCCCTTAAGCCAACATGTAGTGAGAAATAAGACCAGGTAGGAGTGGGCTCTGAGGTCTGTAGTTAAGAATTTCCACTCATTGGAAAACAGTTGTGAACTACTCAGATTCAAAGGAATATTTCAGTAAAAATGCCCATTTGTGTTAAGGGACAGAAGAGACTGGAAGTTAGGAAGGCAGAAAAATGGGCCATGGTGTAGATTCTTGACATGGGGTCTATTATTGCGTTAAGCCTGCGGTAACGGTATCACAGACTGGGTGGCTTAAACAACAGAAATTTATTTTCTCAACTCTGTAGGCTACAAGTCTGAGGTTCGGGTATTAGCAGCGTTGACTTCTCCTGAGGCCTCTCTCCTTGGCTTGTAAATGGCCATGTTTTGTTGTCTTTACTTGTTCTTCCTTATGTGTGTTTCTTTGTCCTAATCTCCTCTTCTTATAAGGACAACAGTCATACTGGACCAGGGCCCACCCTGAAGACCTCATTTTAACTTAATTACTTCTTTAAAGACCATATCTTCAAATATTTAGTCACATTCTGAGGTACTGTGGGTTAGGACTTCAGCTTATAAATTTTTAGGGGACACAAGTCAGCCCATAAAAGAGTCTATGGAAGGGTGGTGTAGGGGCTTTGTGAGCCCCCAGGTTTGAATGCTAAATTTAGCACTTGTGTGAATTTGAGGCTTTTCCACAAGCATGCAGCTGATGCCCAAGTCCAATTGGTTATTGCATCAGTTGACTCAGGAGGGAGTTAAAGCTATAGGACGGCCTAGGAATACCATGTACGTTAATAAATGTGATTTAGTGTTCAATGGTATATGGAAAATGAGAGTTGAAGCCATTTATAAGATTGCAAGTCTTAGTGAGGAACTGGAAATTCTGTTAGAACTGTTATTGGGGGAAGGGATATTATCCCGGGACCTTATTTGAATTTCATGGCAAATTATGTAATTTCCATGACTGTCAATAAAAAACATTGGTAATTTTCCATAACTAAGTGGATTCAGTGAAACTAACCTTCTGCTTAGTATGTCCTTGCTAATATTTTCCTGAAAAGAAAGTTGCAGATGTACAAAACTGTCACCATCTGTTTCTTGTTAGGAATGTGGTTAGCAGATGTGGGTTTTCATAGTCATAATGCATGAGATAGTTAATCCATTTTTGTGGGTTTCAGATGGATAGTGATTTATCTTGGCAGGGTGAATGTCAAAATGTGCTTGCATCAGCTGAAGGATGTATGCACCTTTTCCTCTTTCACTTCATGTTTGTGCTGGAGAGAAAAATACATCTTAGGATATTTCTCCTGAAAGACAAAGGAGTGCTGCCCATTGAAAGGGACAATCGACCTATCTCACTGTCTTCTAACTGGGGAAGAGTTATGTGTGGACAATTTTTCAAAGCTGGATATTGGATTGGTTATCTTACAGGCTTATTTCTCCCTTTGGCTTCTTCAATAGTAATTGAACAGCTTTTGCTTTTGTTCCTCTGGCATCAGGCCTCCTTTGTGATAGTGACCTTCAGGCTTGCTAAGGGCTGCAGTTTTGCCTGGGGCCCTCCTTCCTTATGAAATTACACCACACCCCAACCTTGGAAGGAGCCCCAGATCTACTAATACTTTCCTTTGACCGACTCTTGGCAACACATACCCTTTTCAGCCGAAGTGTAGCTTTATACAAGATATGTTTGTCACTGAAATGAATTTGGCCATTTGCCCTTTATTCTGGACTCAAATGGTATTCTGGCAGACTCATTCCTAGATAAAGTACAGACTGAGCTTGAGAGTTTCTACCAAAGATTTTTTTGTTGCTGCTATTGAAGGTCAACAGGTAATAATAATAGCAGCAGGTATTTTTTATGGCAAGCACAGTGCTGCTAAGTGCTTTGCATATGTCATCCTTGTCAACCCTAACAGCCACCCTTGGAGGTGGAAGTTCCTCTGAAGAAGAAACAGGCCCATGACCCTAGTCCCTTGACCATTGTCATAAGTGGCCAAACTTCTATTTGAACCTTTTGCTCTTAATTGCCATGCTGTATTATATATCTGTTATGAGGGATAAGAAAAAAAAAAGATTATTGGGCTTTGAAAAAGCATAGAAATAGAGCATGAGTCATAGGACTGTAGGAAATTACGGACCTGAGAGAGCTAATCCAGCCCCTCATTTTGAAGCATCAGTGATCTCTTTCTTGTTCAGAGAAGTAGTAAAGTAACAGTCTAAGCAGAGGAGAACACGTACTGATAGGTGACAGAAATAAAAGGTTACCAGGAATTATCTCAACCATTTCCTTTTTTAGAAGTAGGTAAAATGATATGCCTGTTCAAAGAATTAATCTGGCCCTCTCCCCATTCCTAAGAAACCGTGGAAATCTGTACTCTTCATTTTAGATTTCATTATCCACAGTAAGTAGATTTACACTGACTACTTGAGATTCCCTAGATAGTAATTTTCGCTCGGCCAGGAACCCATAACTTTAGTAGGGATTATTTCAAAGGATACAGTGTAGGAGCCTCTGAACTTCAATCACGTGTTTAATGAGTTCCTTCTCTTTCAAGGCAATCTTTTTTGGAATACTGGTGAATAAAAAGAAGTCTGTGGGTGGTCACTGCTCTCCTGTACTTTATAATTTACTTGGGCAAACCAGCCAGGCATAGAATAAAATTGTTCAAAGGAAAAATCCCAACAAATTGGGTAGATGTAGGATGAGAACTTGCTAGATGGGAAAGTGGTTGGGAGGGGCAGAAGGTGTTGGCTAGGATGGATTCAGGCCGAAAGGGGTGACAGGCATCACTGGGGGACACTGACTGGATAAGTTTGGCAGATCTGAAAGTAGTGGGGAAAGAGAACGTTGAAAATTTAGTTTCTGATGGAGGACTTTGTAAGATAGGAATTTTTAATGGATATATTTTTGAGTTTTTTTTAAAATAAAAACTCCCAAGTAACCCAACTATCGATCTCCATTACCTTCCTTCTTCCCACGGTTGAATATTTTGTTACATAATTTCACTATTGAGTTGAAAAATCTATTGACTTCCTCCAACTCTGTTCACCAAATGTCTCGATACTTTACAGAAGAATTTCCAGCACTTCCCCTTTGCTGATAAAGGTATCCTCAAGTGCCAAACCTCTGGGTGATACCAGATGTACAAGTGTTCAAAATAGCACTCAGACTGTAGGGAGTCAGCTGCCAAGTGCTCTCTAATAAGCAGAAATTTAACAGAACCGAACCCTCTGGGGGCTCAGGCCTCAGCTGGAGCAAAGCCAGAGATGTCTGTGACTGCAGGTGCACTTGGGCACATCAGGACCTGCCGGAACAGTAAGCTGGCCTCACTACAACTGATTGAGGAGCGGGTGGAGAGTTGAACTGCTGACATTTGCAGCTTGGAAAATCCTGCTCCACAAATTGCAAAGAGGATTCTGCTGTAATGATTTTGTTGGTAAGATACTTTTCTCTTTTTGAGTTCTCTACATTTGGATTCTGGGTGCTTTCCAGTCTCTATTTTTGTTTTTTTAATTCCTATTATAGGAGGCTTTTTGGAAGTTTCTGCCCACACATGAATGTGCGTTGGACATAGCTTACGAGCTTCAACATGTACTTCATGAGCAAGCAGGAAACAGCACCTTTTACAGGAATTGGTGCATATTTCCTCTGTTTTCAGCACCCTTACCCCCCAGATGAAAACATGCAGATTTCAGTTTTACTGCTTAAGGAACGTTAGAGGGCACCTTGACCCCCTGTTTTTCCTGAGATCTCTCTCAGCATTATGATTTCTGGACCCTCATTTTTTAGGTCTGAAATACGTTTAAAAAAAGCACTGGACCAAGGAGACCTGCATTTCTCTGCTTTCTCTCTGGACTTTGGGCCAGAGTTTTTAGCTCTCTACGCCTCAGTTTCCTCAGCTCTTCCAGCCTGTGAAGCTGGAAGAAGTGGGTAGATTGGATCACCAGTGCATTATCCATGTCTTTGGATAAAAGTCACTGCAGACTGTGCAGTGTGCCTAAAATTTGTTGGGGTTGGGGGGGATGCCCATCTACTCTTGCCCCAACAAAAAGTCTTGGACGGCTTCCAGGATAAGATGTACAAACCCAAGTCCAAGGCTTTTCACACTCGTATCCTGCCACCTCCACTGACCCTATGCTCTGTTCACATTGGAATTCTGGCACCTTCCTAAGTGACCATCATTCTGCAAATATCTTTGTGGCCTACCTATTGTGGCTATAGCCCTGGAGAAGATGTGATCACCTCGAATTGCAGAGTGACAGATGCTTGGATTCATGTCTCTGGACCTTTGCTTGTGCAATTACCTCAGCTCCACCTGTTCACCTTCCATCTCACCTCAGCTGACCCCAGGCCCAACTAAATGTTTCTTCTTCTCTGTTCTCAGGGAGTTTTCTACATGTCACTTAACCACATAGTATCACACCAGGTTGATTGTTTCTCCGTCTTCCTCTCCCACTAGACTGCCAGCCCTTAGCAGTGGTACATTTTATTCAGCTCATCTTCAGGCCTCAAAAGGAGCCCAGGGCCGAGGGCTCAGGTCGGAATACGGAATGAACCAATCAATGCAAGAGGGAACGCACAATCCAGTCTTGCAGGCTTGCAAAGTGCTTTTAGTAGTTGATCTTGCTTTCTGTGCCCAGGCAGCTCCTGTTGCACAGTAGAGGACAGGAGTTTTGGAGAGGGCCGTCAAAGACGAACGGAAGGAGAACGTGGGATGGAGCCTCACTCCCCACGTCCGGTAAACTGCAGAGGACTGGACTACGCGCAACCCCTGAACCTCCCGGAAGCGGCTCCGCTGGCCTCTGTCCGCCCCTCCGGAAGGTGGGCGTGGCCCCTCATGAATAATGAATCGCCGCGGGGGGAGGGGCCGGGCCCGCCCCTCGGGCGGGAAGGGGGAAGCGCCGAGGCTGCCTGACTGGAATGAGGGTAGCTGCGGCGACTGCGACGGCGGGAGCGGGGTCGGCCATGGCGGTGTGGACGCGGGCCACCAAAGTGGGGCTGGTGGAGCTACTCCTGAGGGAGCGCTGGGTCCGGGTGGTGGCCGAGCTGAGCGGGGAGAGCCTGAGCCTGACGGGCGACGCCGCGGCGGCTGAGCCTGAGCCCGCTCTGGGGCCGGCTGCGGCCGCCTTCAACGGCCTCCCGAACGGCGGCGGCGCCGGCGACTCGCTGCCCGGGAGCCCGAACCGGGGCCTGGGTCCCCCGAGCCCGCCCGCGCCGCCGCGGGGCCCAGCCAGCGAGGCGGGCGCGTCGCCGCCCGTGCGCCGGGTGCGGGTGGTGAAGCAGGAGGCGGGCGGCCTGGGCATCAGCATCAAGGGCGGCCGCGAGAACCGGATGCCGATCCTCATCTCCAAGATCTTCCCGGGACTGGCGGCCGACCAGAGCCGGGCGCTGCGGCTGGGCGACGCCATCCTGTCGGTGAACGGCACCGACCTGCGCCAGGCCACCCACGACCAGGCCGTGCAGGCGCTGAAGCGCGCGGGCAAGGAGGTGCTGCTGGAGGGTGAGCGGGGCCGGCGGGCGGCGGGCGGCGCGGGGCCGGCCGGCGCTCACTTTGTGCCACCCTGCCCCCTTCGCGGCGCGACCGTTCCCTCCCCCTGCGAGTCCTCGTCGTCCCCCTGCGGTGGCCGGGCTCTCCCCAGACCCCTTTGCTGGGGCTGTGAGTATGGAAAAACGGATGCTTCTTGCAGGAAAAGTTGGGTAGCCGCCGAGGTGTGGCTTGCAGTGCCTGAGGAAGACTTGGTTGAGATTTAGTAAAAAGCTGCCGCGCTTGAAGCCCCGCCTCTGCAGGATAAGCTGACACTAAGAACTAGAGGGGGACGGACCGGCTGGAGTTCTGGAGGTCTCTGTTTGCACCTGAGTAGTGCCGGGTTGGCGCTTTCCTTACTCACCTCTGGCTCCCTGGGGAGGGCGAGTCTGTTAAAAAAAAAAAAAAATTGGCCACACGGATGCCCGCGGTATGCTTGGGCAAGCCACCGAAACGCTGCTTAATTTATGGGAATTTAACCCATCATTGGCTCTCAACAATAACCAAAGGAGATCATAGCACTTCGTTGAAGCCAGAAAGCTGAAACAGCAAGTTTGTGAGGCTGATGAGCCTTACCAGTAGGGGTTCCCGTGTTTGAACATTCACTGCCAACTAGAGTTTTGCCCCTTTTGCAGGAGACTGGTGCCAGCTTTCTAGCATTCACAGGTGTGGTGCTTAAAGGCTTTAAGTTTTTTAGAAGCCTGAAATATTAAATCTGGAGAAATGTTTGAATAGCCGTATTATTACTGACTTTTAAGTGTGTATGTGATCTGTAACCTGGATCTTTTATGATGTCCTCTCTTTGAAGGATTCATGCATGTCAGGAGGTGGTAGAGTATTGTATATGTGACTTGAAAAGGCAAGTTGCTTACTTCAGAAATTTATGAGAGCTCAGCTTTCTTTCACTGGTGATTCAGTCAGTCAAAAAGCATTTGTTGCTGGATATGCGGAAGAGAATGTAAAAGATGATGTGTGGCTATTTGGTCCCTACTTGGGGAAATGATAGAAAAATTCCAAACAATTTACATGTTGTTGATTATGTAGCACAAACTATATATAAGTGCCAAGGGAATGTAAAGTTAGAAAATAGTGGAAATTGGGATTAGTCAGGGAGGATTTTTTTCAAGGAGCTAAATCCTGAGCCAGGTCTCCAAGGAAGTAATGGACATAGAGATGAGTCAGAAGAGTATTCCTGGCAGAGGAAGACAGAAGGGAAGGGGTGGGGATTGGGGAGTAGGAAGGGACCAGTCATCAAACTGAGAGGCCAGAAGTCCAGCTTGGCAAAGTGATTTAAAGTTTTTTCCAAATCTGCTTGTAAATATTTGGAAGAATTTTAGTTTGCAAATAAATGATTTAATGTGCTCCAATTGTGGAATTCCAGTGTCCCACCTTTATAATATCCTATTTATAAATCTTATTTATATCTAATAGGTGAGGCTAGACACTGTGCAGAAATTAGTGTTAGTAAAATGAGTAAAATTATAGATCGTGGTTTGGGTGGTGTATGTATAAAAAAATTGATACCTTTAATGTGTACCTTGAAATTGGTCTAAATTTGGTTATTAGAATATTGAATATAATGCTATTTATATAGATAATACTCAGTGGTGATGGGCAGGCATTTCACCTCTTTACCCAATATTTTTTTAAAAACCCAGTTTTTGTTTAACATATAATTTGAACCTGGTATTTATGCCAATCAAATGAAAGTCATCTAATAAAATACTTCTCAGTATTGATTACTCTAAAATAGGACGCCTGTGCTTTTAGGAGGACTTACAAATGGCAACATAATAACATATTTAATGAGTGCCTTTTTACCTAGCACAAACCTACTTTTTTTCCTCCATTTTTGTAAAAGACAAGTAGTTTTTGTCTTTATATGCATGGAGAAGTATGAAATCGCACTTTCAAAACACTAAGCGATATAAAAATAAATTACTTAGAATGTGCAAAACTCACTGAAAACAGTGAATCAAACCACTCAAACATTATTTAAAATCAAGAGCTGGTGTCGCATCCTGGTAGGCCATTTTAGATTTTATGCTTAAGCCCTTAAAGTTCTAGAACTGCATTGTCCATTAGATGCCTTGAAACCTGAAAAAGTGCCTTAACATGGCACAGAGATGCTCTTTTATGGTGTGGGCAGGGAATTTCAGGCATGCCCTTGCCACCCCCAAGCAAAGGAAAACAGTAGTCTCTGATTGTCTGTGGTTAGGGAACAGAGCTGAAAGGTTCCTTTTTATCTCATGGGTTTGTAGGGATTACTTATTCACGTATTGAAAATTTATTCAACTCTACCCTGTGCCATACCTGATTCCTGCCCTCAAGAAGTTTGGAGTTGAGATGAGAGAGGTAAGAAGTAAGTACAGCAAAGCGCTAAAAGTGCTGTTACCGTAGAACTCAGGAGAGGGCACAGTGCAAAGGCAGATAGATAGGAGCTGTAGAAGCCCATAGTGGGGATCAGAGGTCGAGGATGCCCAGGAGAAGGTTGATGGAGAAGTTAAAATTCGAATTGAGCCTTCCCCTAAGAAGAGAAAGCTGCCGCCAATAAAAACACACAAGTGAGAGACATTAAGAGGTTTTTCTGCGCAGTGAGGGTGGAGTACAAATGAGCACTTTGTGGTCTGACAGACATGGGTTTATTTCTGGCTAGTGGTTTGTAACCCCTTGGCAAATTATTCGACCTTGCTAAAAGCCTTAGTTTCCCCATGTAAAACCAGGGTGTAATAATATCTCCCTTAATAGGTTGTTACTCATTTGACAGTGTATGCACCCTGAGCTTTTTTAGGGACCAAAAATATAGTAAACAGCAACAAAGTTGGATTGAGAAAGGTAGGACCAGGTATTGAAGCTAAGCAGTGAGTTAACAAAGACACCCTCAGGATAGTCAGGTTAAGTTGTTAAAATCCAAGGCTCCATTTTACTTCTGTGTGTTAGAAATAGGGTTTATCTATAAAGCTTCTAGACTATATTTTTCAGACTGGGCAATTGACTAAATGAACATGAATTAGACTACACATGGAAGAGTGTTCCAGGGGAAGTAAGGGAAGACAGTATAAAGTGTTCAGCTTAAGGTTTGATATTTGAGAAAAGATGACTTAGTTTTGAAGCAGTTCTCATTGAATATTGTCATCTTTTGTTGCCTAAATATGATTCTTAAAGAATTGTTACCAAATCTGAAAAGAAAATGGTTGAGTGTATAGAGAAAGTGGGCTGGCATGACATTCAACTTCAGAATTGAAAATAATTTTTGTATCTCGAATGGTTTGAGATTTTGAGTGTCATATGTCACAGTTCTGTGTATTAGGGGACATACAACAAACACTGACATTATTAGGCTGCTAAAGTAAAGAAGCTTGTTTGGTTTGCTACACTGCCACTTTCTTTGTATGTTGGCCAAGTTGAGAGTCTCCTAGGAAAAACATTTTATATTTTCTTTGAGACTTTGCATGTATATTCATTCATCTGTCGCTTAAGTAACAACTAAATTGTCAGGAAATTTGTGTTTCTGTGTTTGTCTTTTTGTTTAATTGGCCTTTTTTTTTTGTATCACTTGAATGGTTAGACATATTTACATGAGAAGCTATGTCTTTGTAGCCAGATTATTTCTTACAGAGTCCCCTTCATGCTAAAATATGCCCTCCAGATTATTATTAGAATATGAGCAGCTTATTGATTTTCATACAGAATGGTTATGAAAACTCAAAAGAACATTTTTAGTAACCATAATGAGACTTTAATTTAGATCTCAAAAGATAACTCATCAACTTCAACTGACACATTCCCTGCTGTGTAGTCCTTCTGGGATAAAGGTTACTTTACGTTGTGATCAAATGTGTGTTTTTGTACATAAGGATGTGGTACAGCCTGTGGCTTTGGAACAGTGTTCTGCTGTTCTGAGCTGACTTTTCAATGATCTAATCACTCTCCTTGGCCGGGTTAGCACACTGTTCTAACCAACTGAACAACAGAAGATGCTACTTGCTTGCATTTTTTGCCCCTAAATAGTACAATAATACCTTATGTTTTTATCAGGATTTTAAAATCATCTGTGCATTTTTATCTGTATTGTCTCATTTGACCTTTACACAGGACTTTGAGGTGATGGGCTGTTTATCTTTGTTTTACAGATGGTTACACTGAAGTTCCTTAAAGTTAAGTGAATTCCTGAAGGTCTCAGAATTTCTCTTGATTTTTAGAGAAAAAAATTTAGTGTTTCCTTTGGGTAAGAGGGAAAATCTTAACTGGCATTAAAAAAGTTGTAAAGTCTCATCTTCCAAATGAGGAATTAATGACCAGAAGGTTGAGTGACATGTTTAATGTCATCTAATTAGCAGTGGAACTTGGACCAAAACCCAGTTTAGTGCTTTCTGCCTTGTGCCGTGCAACCTACAAGCAGTCAGATCTTTTAGCATCTCCTGTGCATCTATCATGTTGTAATGTGTTTTGAGAGAACAGCGTGCAAAAGAAGCTGAAGGTGATCCTGGCCATCATAGAACTTAGACTGAAATTGGGGAGGGAAAACTACCTCATAGAGAGTAACTGGTAAAATGTGCAGTATTCACTCTTCAGGAGTTACCTGAAGGGAATGCTCAGTTGAGGGGCTGGAAGAATTGAGTATGACTTCATGGAGAAAGGAAAATTTGATCTGAGGTTTCAAGGACAGGTTGTCTCTGTAGATGGAAGGCAGTCCAAGTTGAGGGAGTAACTTGAGCAAAAGCCAAAATGAGCATGACACATGATAGGAAGTGAGGAGAATAGGAAAATAGGAATGGATTTAGAGGAAGAAAATAAAGCTGGGTAGATAAATTGGAGCCAGATTATGCAAGGCCTTGAAAGCCAGCCAGAGGAATTTGGACCTTTTTCATTCTGTCAGTCACCATTTATTAAGTACCTACTGCAAACAAGGTGTTGTGGTAGATACTGGGAATTCACAGTTGTGAGTAATCCCTGCCCTTTAGGCTAGTAAGGAA